ACACACATTCATTCACTCACTCAAACTGTCAAGTAGTCCATCCTATAAGAAAATTTATATTTTTCCCTAAAGTAAGAGAGAATCACTCAATTTTTTGGAGATTTGAAAAGTTAGCATCTAAAGTCAATGAAATACTTTATTTTTAGATGAGAATTTATCAAATACCACATGAAGCCCTGTAACATGAGCTCCTAAAGGTTAAGCATACAAAACAACAGGGCTAACATTGGTGCTCCTATTTTGGTAAGTGAATACATCTGTAATAAATTTTAAAAGGGTCATTGCTTTTAAATCTCACTAAATTAACAGAGATGACATGCAAGAAATAGCATACGTTATTTCTTCAGATCGCGGGAGACATGCTTGTGCTTAATTCTTATGCTTAATAATTGATCTCATTTCAATATCTGCTTTAGAGAAACCTGACTAATGGAGACTGGCATTTAAAGGATCCCTAACACAAGAGATAACTAATTTACAAAATGATCCTAAAATCCAGCCCTGCCTATGTTATGAACATGGAATAACCTCTTTCATGTTAGGCCTGGGAGTGAGTCACAATGGGAAACCATAACAATTTCAAAGAACTCCATGAATCTCGACAGTGGCACCCACCAGGGCGTACTACAGGCCAAAAAGAAACAGTTGTTCAACACGGGAGTGGGAGCACAGACTACAAACCACCTCATGCCTCCCTGTGGGCAGATCTCAGTTGTCCCATCTGCTGTGTCAGTTTTGTGGTTTTGTGGGCTATGGACTGATGCCTACCTTATTTCTGGCCTTTCTGCCAATTTTCCCCTGAATGTCTGCCATGTCCCTGGTCACCAGCCCTACCATTTCTATTCTCTGTGTCCTTTACACATAACTCCCTTTTCCCACAGATATCTTCTAGTCCTCTGCCTTTTTCCATCTTCACATACTTCCTATGCAAGTCTTTCTTTCAATTCACCTCTTCCCATACCAGCTATACTGTTTCAAATATCCTAACCCCGAAATAGAAATATTTTCTATAAAGTCTGTTTATGATAAGGACAGGAGCTACAATTAAAGTCTACTTTAATTTTCCTAACCTCTGAAAGGTCACTGAATTCTATACCTCCAACTTTAAAAATGGCCTTTAGAAGGGCTGGAAGCCGTCTGAGGATTAACACCTGCTCATTTCTGAGAGAGCCCTAAAAGTCCATTTCTATCCCAGTGGTCAAAAGCTGTGTTATCACATTTCTCCTTATTGGAATCTTTCACACCTCTGCCCTTCTGTTTTCTTATTACTTGTTATATATTTGCCCTATTGTTTTCTAGGCCAAACAATAACAGATCACTTAACTTTTCAATCCCATCGATTACTTTTTAGCCTCAATGAGATAGGTTTCATACATAAATTACAAATTTAAAGTATACATCTTTTTCTGGTAGTCCTGGATTTTGAGCTCAGGGCCTCACACATGCTAGGCAAGCGCTCTACCACTTGAGTCACGCCCCCAGCCCTTTTGGCTTTAGTTATTTTTGGAATAGGGTCTCTTGCATTTTTGCCCTTTGTGTTCTGCTTGACCACAGTAAGATCTAAGTTCCTTTTCTGTAAATGGGGTTGGATAGAATATAACTCCTGGAAGAAACTTTGAAATTCTGAATTTCAGTTTGCCGTTGTCCTAATTGGAGTCTCAACTCTTCTTCAAAGAATAAACTATTACAGTTACTAATAATGAAGTTACATACCATTTAATCAAATACCTTATTCTACTGAACAAAAAAGAATAGAATATTTATATACTTAAGAAAATAAGATATATATACACACAAGTAGATCAAGTGCCATGTCTAGCTAATAACATTTCTAGTACCTAACAAAACTTACAGACTTTAGCTCCACATGATGAAGGGATGTCAGGTACCCAAGTGATTATTTACCTCCTTGGTCATGTTATAAAAATTAGGGGAAAAGGACCACATGCTAAAAAGTTTATAATAAAATCTCATAAAGATCATTTTGTTACCAAAATTCTATGTCCACTTATTTCACATACAATATTCCATCTCTTCATTTTTCACAGCCTCTTATAGAAAAGTAAAACAGACTGAAAAAGCATGACAGAGAAATGCATTCTAATACAAGCAAGCTAACTACTGTCAATGATGAAGACAGGAAAACACATTGCAGATAACTCAAAAGCACAACCATCTGGGATTAGTTTAGGGAGAGAGAGGAGCAAGAAATTCCCTGACGGTGTCATATGCACTCACTGGTGAGTTAGAGTCCTCAAAAGAGTTCACACTACTTAAGAGGAAGGTAACAACATGGCACTGCTCAACAACATCAAGTAGTTGAAATAAAATGAAGGCTGCTGATTATCTCCAAGCTTGTAGAGTCAAGATAAATAAATAAATAAATAAATAAATAAACAAACTAGTGTTTTATTTTATTCCCTCCTAACTTTTAATCAGTAACTAAGCCTGGTTTAGAAAAAGAGGACTGGCATAAAAGAAATGGTCAGGACTCACACATGTAATTGTTTAAAGTTGGAAGAAAGTGGGCAAAACTGAAGTCCAGATAATTTATTTAACTTGGACAACTCAAGTCAATTTACTGTCAACAGTATTTTTATAATTTCTTCCATTTCTATCCTTCTTTCCCCTTACTACAACAAAAGTCCTATCATACTTTAGATCAGTGCTTAACTGGAAAATTCTAAGAAATGCAAATTCTCAGGCTTCATTACAGACCTATTGATTCAGAAACTCTGAGGGTAGGGCCCACAAACTGTTTCATACTGAGCTCCCCAGGTGACTCACGCACTCTTGTCTGAAAACCTCTGCTTCAGATGCTATGCGTGTCAAAAGCACAGCAGTTTTGATTTATAGAACACATGGCTTCATAAGTCTGATGTGACAAAAGGACATAGAGAAGAGAAGTCTATTATGTAAATGGTGCATTGTTAGCTTAATTTCTAGATTAAGGTCTAACTAACGCTTAGCAACCTCTAATAAATAGTAAATGAAGCTGGTACCTTCCAGATGTTTCAAGAGGGCTCTACTGCTATTCCCATGAGCAGATATCAGTATGGTTTTGCCTTTTAGTACTTCTGGGGCAATCCTTTCATTCCAGTAGGGAAGGAGTCTCTCCAGAACATCCTTTAAACTTTCAGATCGTGGCAGCTGATCCAAGGGTACATCACACACTTTATACCTTCGGTCACTGTAGATTTCATGGTAGTAGGGATGAGACTCCTCAATGGGAGGTGGAGTCACATTGTAGCTTCTTCTCCAGAGCCTCACTTGTTCTTCACCATGATTCAAAGCCATTTTCTCCCTGTTAAGCCCGATCAAGGCTCCATAGTGACGTTCATTTAGACGCCAGGAGCTTTCCAAGGGAACCCATTCCTGCCCCAACTCTTCCAGGATCAGCCAGGCTGTGTGGATAGACCGATTAAGAACGGATGTGAATACAAGATCAAACTCAAAATTAAGTGCTTTGAGTTGCTTCCCACAGTTCCGAGCTTCCTCCAGTCCTTCACTGTTAAGTTTCTGATCTACCCAGCTACAAAATCGATTCTCCTTATTCCAAGCACCCTCTCCATGTCTTAACATAATAAGTTTGTATTTGGACATACTGGTGGCTGAACTTCCTTGGTGTTTTCAAATGGGATAATCTTCAAGACCAGCAATACATCTAGAAAGAGGAGAAAAAAAATTGTATTTTTCATTCAAATGTATACTTAGTTTTGGAAGCACAATTTTGCAACAGCCAGTTTCTAAAACAAACTGAAATTGCTTTGAACAGTTTTGACATCAGACATCCGGTGTTCATACACTGTGGTACATACAGGCATATTCTCCAGGTAGTTAATTACAGACAATCTAGTTGACTTACATTTTCTAATGGCTGGATAGCATGCTAATTGAATGACGTAAAATAACAGAACATTTCATTCTAATGGCATGCTGTGTTTCCGCAGTTTATGCTTACAGTAGAGAGGATTTAACAGAATGAATTGTAGCTGTCTAAACTAATGTCTAAAAGAATGAGCTGGGAACTCCCAGTTTCTACATGCTGACTCCCCATTGAAGGCATCCTTCTCACTTTGTTTTTCCTCTGCTGGAAAAAGAAATGTTTACCAGTCTTGCCTTCTTATTATGGAAGTTATTAAACATGTTAACTCAGTGAACACATGTATCTCATATGTATTACTGATTGGTAGCAACAAGCTCTTCAATGCTACAGGCTACATACAAGCAAATCTAAGGTATGCAAAACCATCGATTCAACATTCAAACAGCATTAAGTGATTGAAAATGACATTAGCAGTAAAAGTGGTACTCACCTAAATAATCTTTCACCTGTCTCAAGATATAGCTGTTGACAGGAATAAATCCGGATGCAAAACAAACTATCAAATGCAAGCAGCTAAGGGATGCTGCCTGTAGAAACAGATTAACAGGAGCTGGACTGTGGGAGCGAGAAGAACCACGTTGATAAGGAGGCTCTGCCTACTGCTCCCCAAACCCTGCAGATATTCTACATGCACCAGCCATATCTTGGCAGAAGAAGAATCTAGTAAAGTGGGACAGGCAACAGGGGAATCTGAACTCCCCACATTACTGGCCCAAAGATCTGGAGGCCCACTCTGTCCCCCAGAATCTGCAGACTTGGCCACATCAGCCTGCCTTCGCTCTCCTTGCAGGAGACTGACTACCGTGGGTCTACACTGACACATGCTGCTAAGCTGACATGCCTGGCACTCTCCACCTCCATCCCAGTGTTTTTCCACACTGAGGAGTAAAGATTATATGAGCATCAGTGTCTGGTCTTCTGCCATTCTCAGTAACTTCCATAAACTGGGGATTTTCTGTTCCACTTAAACTGTGATTCACCCACAATTATATAACAATTTGTTACAAGGTTCACTGGAAGCTATATCTGGTTTCTACCTTTCTTTAGTAATTCCTAGAGGGTCTTTTGGGGGAAAACATTAAAATAAAGCCTCAAGAATAAGGAAGGAAATCAGAGTGAGATCATTTACAAATAGCTGAAAGGCTCCAACAGTTTGGATTATGATTTCCCTATCTTGTCAAGCATTAAGTCTGAAACTTTGATGTGAATGGAGCGGGGAAGCAGCAGGTAATCAGAAGAGTGGGAGCTCAGGAATTAGACAGGACCTCACAGGGCTGAGAATTGCCAGGGAGGGAGCATGATACCTCTATCCTCAGCCTGGTAGGGGCATCAGGGTGGCAGAAGAGAGAAAAGGATGACAGTCATCTGGGCAATGCTTTGCCAGAGACTACTTGTGCCTAGAGGCAGAATAACCATGAGGTTAATGAAGCCTTAGCTTCAGGACCCTCACCTGGGGGAGACCAAGCAATGAATTCATTTGGGTGCATGTATGGGTATATGTATTTAGGGGAGAGGGGTACAGACCTAAAGTCAGGCCAGAGAGAACCTAAGGATTCTAAGAACAAATATTTTTTGTTTATTTGTTTTTGTTTTTTTGAGAGGGGTCTCATTATGTAGCCCAGGCTGGTTTCCAGATTGTGATTCCCCTACCTTAGCCTCCCAAGTGATAGGATTATAGGTAAAATTTTAACTAAAAATTTTAACACCAAAATAATCATTTCAGATGATAAAAAAATCATATATAAAAATAAAAGGAGTAGCTACTCCTTAGCTCAAACCTACTGCCCTATGAGACTGAGGAACTTCCATTCTGCCACACTACCACACTGGAACCTAAAGCTCTGTCCTCAGTCCTTGGAAACCTAACTTTTCTCATTAATTTAATCACACTGAAGTGAATGATTCACAAACTGAAAGCCCCAAATACTCATAAGTCTACCCAGGCTAGTCAAATATCTGTTTAAAACCCCACATGGGCACAGATCAATAACAGGACCAGTGAGGAATATAGAATCCAACACAGGTTATATATTCAAGAAACTAGTGAGGAAGACCTATATAATTGTGCATGTGTGTAACTAAAGATGAAAGTAATTCATACCATTAGAAGCACTTCATTCATAAAGGAGATAAGAAGGGACAGACTATTTCTGAGTAAGATTTCATGGACATGACATTATTTAAGCTGGATTTGGGAAGATATTTAAGAGTTAGATTTATAGAAAAAGGGAAAGGAATTCTAGCCTAGGGGAACACTGAAGAACAGGTGCATATAAAGGATAGTAAGCCATTCAAATTGGCTAGAGTATTAAGTAGGGTGACTACACATCCTGATTTGCTTGAAACAATTACTGCTTAAGACCTGTCTCCTTCCCCAACATAATTATTAGTAGGGCCCCTTTCACACTTAAGCAACCCATTTGGAAAATTATATGGTCACCCTAAGTATAGGATATAACCAGGAAGTAGGAGGAGACTAGTCTAGAAAGATAAGACTGAATAGTGGCTCAAGGATGGCCTTGTGCCAAAGAATGTAGTTTCTTCTACAAATATTGAGACATCATTAAAGGTTTAATAGCATGCATTTTAGGAGGACCAGGTAGCACTTATACTTACAGTGAGAGATAGAAAAGGACAGGGGTATGAATAGAAGTTGCAAGGTTTTTATAATAATTCTGGTAACATAATGAAGACCTGAACTAGAACATTGGCTGTTAAAATGGGATGAAAGAGATAAATGTGAAAGACACCACAGTTTAGCTCAGATGTTGGCAACATTTTCTACATAAAAATTTACATACATAGTGGCTTTTATGGTCTCTGTTGCAATTATGTACATTGTAAGTTGAAACAGTTGTAGATAATGCATACAAGAGAAAAGGTGTTACAGTAAAACTTTTACATATTGATACTGAAACTGGAATATCATATAACTTTCATGTATATGAAATATTATTATATTTGATAAATTTTAACAATTCAAAATGTAAAAACTACTCATGGATTACAGGCTATAAAAAACAGATAGTGTGCTAGAAAGTCTTAGGTGTGTACATCTCTGCCTAGCTGGAGCCTATACTCAGATCTATTAATCATACCAGCATTTTTAACCTTCACTAAGCAGCCTGTCATAGGATACTTCCAATATTACTTAAATCACCAGATTTTATTCTTGGCCAGAACTGCAAAATACCTTGAGCAATGAAATCCCATTCGTAGTTGTTTTCAGCCCTCACAGAAGACAATGCGCATATTTAAATCAGTCTGAATAACTGACTTTTGTTTCATTGAATTATTTAAGTTCAAGACAGAACTATAGGGAAAAGTGATTCACCTTGTTAACCTCCTTCAAAATATAATCTGTCATTCAGACATGCTTGATCCCCATGAGACATCTTCATACATTATGTATGACACAGTGCTTCACACTTCAGGTGAATGAATGTGAACTTGCTCAGAAGTAGGTCTATGAAGTTGCCTTGGCAATACAGAAACAAATAGATGATTCAAAGGACATAGTTTGCCATTATGACTTTCAAAGACCTTTCATTATACAATGCGTACAAACTGCATCTAAATTAACTACAAAAAAACCAATGTTCTTTTCATAAATGCCACCATAAAATTAAAGTTGTTTCAAAATTAACATTCATTTGGCAAGGTGGGAACAGAGATAGTTAGTTGACCAAGAATAATTTGGCACATGCAAAGCACTCACTTACTGATGTTACTTCTAGCTTTTTTGCATAGTTTCAACAGATAGATAGCATGACCACCCACTGCTGCTTCGTACCCCTGCCCCTTATTAAAACATAGTTTTCATGCAAGATGCATTATATATACACGATATATTATATATATACACCATACACACAAACATCCACATAAATAGATCTATAACCTAATATAATACTTTTCCCTTAAAGAGTTATTCTTTTGCATCCATCAATGCTCATAACATTTTCTAAGCAGTTATGAAAGCGAAGCCTATAAGCAATCTTGTAGCCTTTTATAGATGATGAGAATGTAAGGAAATTAATGTTCAAGACAACATAATGCTTTTCAGACAGAAGTGGAAGAGAAATGCCCTATGTTTGACCACAGGCTCTCACTAATTCAGATATCTTCGCACAGCTGACTCAGATCTTTGAGCAAACCAAGGTCCTCCTAGTCCTCACCATGTCAAAAGGAAATTAGAAGACTTTCAACAAACAAAGAAAAAGTGGATAAGGTTTGCTTAATTTACAAAAATAAATGAAGAGATAAGAGGCTTTTTGGAAAGATACCTTGCCACAGTCAGGTGAGAAAGGAACTAATAAGAGGAAAGGAAGCAAGGATCTGGGGTCCTAATGCACAGAAAAAAAATGTCTCCCTGAGAATGAGCTCTGAAGATATGAATATAAAAATAATTTTAGGGGCTGTAAGACTGGCTTTGCAGTTAAGCAAAGTTCTTAGAGGCTTAGTTCTTAGAGGCTAGAAGTGGTGAGTTTCCATTAGCAGGTGAGTGATGGAATTGAAGGATGATTCTAGGATTCCTGCCTCCTGTTTTAGTATGCACCATTATTTCAGCACTCTCATGGTAAGCATCAATAGAAATAAAGACACACTTTACCCATTTCAACATAATTACTGCTTTCCCACCAAATATGTAAGAAAGAACTTATGCTGAAGTTCATGATTTTAAAATATTGGGTTACATTACCAATACCCACAAAAATATTGGTATAAAAGAATTCCCTAGATCCAAGACTCACCCCCACCTTCCCCAACTCTCAGTGTCCACTGACAGCTCTTTAGATATGAAATACACACAGATACTTGCCAAATCTACCTAAACCTGACCCCTGCTTTGCATTCCGTACTTCATTTCTACCTGTCATAGAGCAGTTTGTTTCTATTGTTATTTTTGAGGTAGTATTGCTAGAATAATTATAGTGATCAACCTTTTCCATAAACCAGACTCCTTTTTGGCATAGGAGGGTGAATATAGTGCAAATACTGGGTACACGTGTATGTAAATGTAAAAATGATACTACTGAAACTATTCCAGGAATAGGGGAGGGGAAATAAGGGAGAACAGAGGAAGGAGTGAATTCTAGTATGATATGTTTGATGTATTATAAGAACTTTTGTAAATGCCACAATGTAGCCCCAGCACAGCAATTTAAAAAAAAAATCCAGACTCCTTTTTGAAGTTCTAAAAAGAAAAAACCATATAGTTTCACATACCCCTCAAGCTCAGGCCCATCCTGTCTTCCAAATTAAAACTCCTAGCACTTTGTTTCCTCCCTTCCTTGAGTGTTTGAAACTTAATGTCTTAAGATTCTAGTGTCTCAACTTATGAAGAGGTGGGACAAATTACAGAGTAAAGTCCAGCTTAAAAACTTCTTCCATTTTCCCAAACAGAGCAAGACATTTAATCAAAAGTGTCAAGTAAAATAAAGGACATACAACTAGAATTGCTTTGATCCAAAGCTTGTACTTAAATATTAAATATTCAATCATTACCCCAGAACAGTCAGAGGTTTTCCTTGTTCAAAATCTTTACTGCAAAGCTTTCAGCAACTTTTAACCCCCATTGCACTAGTAATCTAACTTTTAGAAGATGGGCTGGCTGTATTTGAGGATAGACAGAAAGATTAATAATGTCTTTCACATATTAAAAAGGAACAGTTCTAAAGGGAAGCAAAATTTGGTGCTCAGTTCCTTAGGGCTTTAGGTATTTATGCCTTCCCCAAAATCAGGTCCAATATTAAAAGCTGAAACATGAGTGCATCCTAAAGACACTTAGTATTCTATGGTCTATTACTTTGTCTAAAGCCTTATGGTAACTTTTCCATTCCTATCTGCAGTTCTAGGAACAGCTCTTTGGCACTCACAGGTAATTTTCAGATAGTACAACACTCTCATTTTCCAACTTTACATTTACTAACATCCCCTACTGATCACTTGTTGAAAGGGTAAACCATAGCAGGTAGACCCCTACTTATAGGGAAGTGACATGCATGTGTAATGAGATATGACTTTGGCCTGGGTCTTGGTGCTTGTTCCAGCCTTTCTGGCATTACCATTATGCAAAATACCCACTCAAGACTCCTCCATCCTATCTGTAGCTATTACTTTCCTAGGGTAGTAACTCTGTCAATGCAAACCATTTCCATCAAATCCCAAAAGTTTGAAGTTAAAAAAAAAAAAAGCCTGGACAGAGCCCAGTTCTGCTGCTTACTGACAGTAAGATTATGAAAATATTAAAATTCTCTGGACCTTAAAGATGAGAAGAGTGAAACTATTGTTTTCAAAGGACAGTTAGGAATATTAAATGAATTATGGTGAAACAGTCTACCAAAAAGTGGGAGAGAGAATGGATACATAAAGATTGGTATGTATCTCAGGTACACCAGGTGATCCTACCTGGCTGGTGGTATGAATAGGAGTAAAATCTTGGAATAAAGTAAAATGAGGGAAGGAGTTAGAGAGAAGTTTAAATTCGATAGCAAAAATAACAATGCAATCAAATGTGGGTGGAAAAAGGTGATGGAAATATAACAGGCCTAGAAGCATGCCAAATACTAAGAGATATTCTATGATCCAAATGCTTTAGTAAAGTGGTCAACATTTAACTTATATTCTATAAATTATATTTTCCCCCATATTTGTGGCCAAGTTTCAAAGAAAGGGTATTGGTTACTAATACTTTTTGTTCATTTCACCATATAAACACCAAATTTCATTCCAAGAATGTTCAAGAAACCATTCAGTTCAACCATTTTTGTGTCCTCTGTTCTTCAGGCAACAGACACACAAAGATGAATACATAGATGAATTTACATGTATCAATCATTACTTAATGTGAAATATTCCTCTTAATCTCAACCAAGGGTAGAAAGCAAAAAAGGAAGAGAGACTAAAAAATTCACCCAAACACTAACAGTACTTGTCTCTGAGTGATGGGATTAAGGATGTCATTTTCTGTCACATTGTACTTCTGTACTCTCCAAATTGTCTACAATGATCTTGGTTTGGTTTAGTTTAAATACTGACACTAAAAAACATGTCTTTGAAGCTAGAAACTTACTGCTAACAGATTTGACACAGAATTTACTGCAGCCAGATTTTGCTTATGCACTTACACTGGAAATTGTCTAATCATGTTTATTTTAAAACAGACTTTAATATAGGCATGGACTTCAGAAATACTCTAATGCCAACTTCTGCTTTTTTAAAGGTGTGAAAATTCAGAGTCAGGGTTGAAATGATTTGTTTAGGATCACACAAATAGTAACAGCTTAAGGGCTAAAATCAAAGTGTCTTGACTTCTAACTCAGAGCTCTTTCCACTACACTATTTATTTGAATTATACTTCTCTAAAACCCATCACCATCTTTGGAGCATCTATGGTGTGTGAGGTGCCATAGGAATACAAAGATTGGTATAACCTAGTCCCTGGACTCAGGGGAGGTCTTTAAAATAAGAGACGAATCCACATGAGTTGTTTTTATACAGAAATCCTTCACACCTACTGGTGAAATGTAAATTTGACTTTTCTCATCCCAAGGGACCACATTCAGTTAACATTCTAGGACCATTCACAAGCTATAAATGCTTCGTAATTTGGAAGGAAGGCGGTAGTAGAATGGAAGTTAAATTACCTAATAACCAATTATCCTTCAAAGACTAAATGTGAACTTAACGTCAACTTAACGTCAATTATGCATTTTTTTACCTCCTCCAGGGTAATACTAGTCCCCCACCCCTTAGAACAGAGGGAATTACACTGACTTTTAATTTTTAGTGCTTCTATGCCCTTGTGATTTGACTCCTGAAACCACTGCATAAATTCACCTCCTCTTCTTTCAAGTTTGTTTTTTTGTTTTTCTTTTAGGGCCAGGTCTGCCGATTCCCTAAAAAACAGTGCAGAGCCCTGCTTCCTTGCAGGGAATCTAGTAGTGGGAGAGGACGTCCAGAAGTGTTCATCATCCCCTTCAACTTCTCTATCATTGCCATAAGACACCACTACCGAGGCGGGTTCCTTCTTACACTTGACAGAACTGTGACTGTCTGACAGGCTCGTTCTGAGAAATACGGCAGTGAAGGCAAATTTAGGGACAGGGGAGGGTGGCAGTTTGAGGGGGTGGAGCAGGCATCAGATTCCCACCAAAGACTAAAGTGTGTCGGGGGGAGGGTTATAAGAACTGTTCTTCTCTGAACACTAAAATAAAACACCACCTCATTCAGAAATGGAAACGTCTCAACAGTAATATTCTAAAATGAACCCACTCACCTGCAAAGAAGCCACCGGCAGCAGCAGGCGCTCCTCGACGCCGCAGACCAGCCCGCGCCTCCTAGGATTCATTGCTACCGCCGGCATCAACGCTCTTTTCTAGCCCTGGAGTCAGAAGGGGCAGGTTCGACGGCGCCGACTATTGGCGAGCTGAGTTGTCAATCATTTTCGGCTCCGCCCAGCCCCACCGGGACCAGTAAAGGTCTTTTCCGTTTCCCAAAGCGCCAGGGTAAGAAGCAAGACAGTGATTGGCTTGCTTAGAAGACGAGCACACACCTGGACCAGTAAGAGGATGACTTCAGAGCTGGTGGGCGGGGTTGGGCCTAGGGAAGTAGAGAAACCCTGGAGCGTTGTCCTAGCGATAGACAAACCTCAGGCCTTGGAAGCAGCGGAATGGTTTGAGGTTCGAGAAATCGTCTGGCCTTATAGGGAAACACCTGTTTATGAAGAGCGGTGTCAGCGGAATCTTGGAAGAGGTGAAGATGTTTCTTTTACTCAGGGGAAATTTTCGGATTAATACCTGGGATGCAGCCGGGCAGTGCTCGCAGAAGAAAGTTCTCTGCCGCAAATACTCATGCTTTTAAGTCTCACATAGTGATTAAAACGAAAGCCTTTTATCTGCCGGATTTATAGGCTATAGCTCATTCCTACTTTCTCTTGCTGCTTTATAGGAATTTCCCTTAGGGAATTCCCTGACAGTATTTTAGATGGAGAAAAAAAGTGATGAATGGAATGCCCTGAAAGCTTCTAGAACGGAGACAGGAAAGATGGGTTTAATGGAAGATAATTGTAAATAAGGAGTCCACAATTACTAAAAAGAGAAACCTATGAAAATGCTATCCAGTCACCCGAAGCCTGGCACCAGGCCCCAAAAGCTTCTGAGCAGGCTTCAACTACCACTCAGGTTTTGAAGCACACGTGTCAGAAGTTTGAGTGAGAAATAATATGTTTGCCTGACCACCTTGGAAATCCCCCTTCTAGACTTCTAGAAGCTCCTCTAGTGTTAATGCCCTTTGAATTATTCATATGCTATCCTCGTAACAAGTCCAGTCGGTTTATGATCAGCTAGCAGGTTCTCAGAATAATTAGATTTATACTTGAAAGATAGTCTTGCCACATTTTAAACTTCTGTGACACACCATGACTTGATATCATTAAGACCTAATTATAGTTAGTTCTAGATCTCATTTATTCATCTTAGAGCATGATAATTCTTCCCCAGTTCTCAAAGAACAGATCTTTACTTTCAGGAGAACAGACTTCCAGGACTGACAGCTCCCAGCAAGTGATAGCTGGGTTTTAACTTGGACGAGAGTGACTAGAATTCAAGTCAGACCATCTGGAGGAGGCAGCTTCTAGACTTGACTTTCAAAAATATGGCTTCCACATCTTATATGCTTGCCCAACTATTCATTTTCTCCATATCAGATGAGGACAAATTAAGGAGAAAGCTCTTCTGCTGCACTGCAATATCAATCTATTCGGAGTCCCCACCATCCTTACTGTTGAGGATAAAGGCTGCCATTCATGAAAGGCACTTTCTCTGAACTTAATGGCATGTGCTCATTGGATTTAATTTTACTGTTGTTATGGATACCCATGGGATGCTGCTTGTCACATAAAACCTGAGCAATATCAAATGCATTTTTGACTCATGAATGATTTTGGTAGAAGATGGAAGCAATTTTTAATGAGTAATTTTGTCAAGTACGACTTAAAAGACAAATTTTAGTCACCAGCAAGCATGGTCTGTGTGATGCAGGCATGCACAAAGGCTAACAATTTCCGGAGTCACTGTCATCCAATGGCAAGACTGTTCATAATTATTTAACAATATTGTGTCCTGGACCCCGTGTTCTGATCTGTTCCATGAACTGTCTCCCTTAGAAACTTTTAAATAGTGATATTGTGACTCACAAAAATTATTGTCATAAACACATTTAAGGCAGAGATGAACTCCAAAGGCACTAGACTAATAAAAACTTCTTCCTTGATGGAGCCTTAGAAAGTAAACTCTAAGGCAGGGTATGAGTGGTACATGCCAGCACTTGGGAGATAGAGGCAGAAGGATCACGAATCTGAGACCAGCCTGGGATTCATAGCAAGACCCTGCCTCAAAAATAAATAAAGTTTTTTTCCCCCAGCATTTGGGGTTGAACTTGGCCTTGCACTTGCTAGGCAAGTACTTGAGCCCTTTGTCAGCCCTTTTTGTGTTTATTTTTGAGAGAAGGTCTTCCTTTATGTCTAGGCTGGCCTAGACTAAGATCCTCCTTTTTGTGTTTTCCCTTGTAGCTAGAATGATAGGCATGTACCACTGTGCCCAGCTATTGGTTAAGATGGGGCCGCTCAAACATTTTGCCCAGGCTGGACTTGAACCATGGTCCTTCTGCTTCCTGAGTAGCTAGGCTTACAGGCTTGAATACCACATCCAGCCTAAAATGTGTTTTTTAAAAAGAAAAGGAACTCTAACCCCTTGTACAGCAATTCTGATTTGATCAGAATTCCTTAATTGGTTGAGGGCAGAGCTGGGGATAAGGACCAAACATTACTCATTTAAATTCTGGGAAAATGGTCCCTCCTCCTGCTGCCTCCTTTCCAACCCCACCCCTCCAGCAATTTTTTTAAAATAAATTTTAATTTTTGAATTAACTTTACATTGATTCTAATCCTGAGGCACTTAATTTTGACATTGTGTAGATACTATGAAAATAAGTCTGCCTCAGCTCACTTCTTTACTTCAATTTTTGATATAGTCCCACTTTCATCCAAATAAGAAATGGAAAAGCAATAAAGTACAACTATGTCACCTCTTTGTCTTTTGTTCCTGTTAAGTGGGTATATTGAAAAGTCAATATTAGCCCCTATGGTACTTAAAGGGTTGTTTTATTCATGACCCAAATAAAATACCATGTTATGATAGCATGCATACTTAGTCAAAATAATTTCATGAATATGTACACAGAGACCCTAACTTGTTCCAGGTAGGGCTGAGCTGCTCTGTAAGGCATAAAAACATCATCCACTGACCTAGCTATTCTGCTTTTATCTATCTTGACACAATCATTGTCTCCCTCTCTCAGAAAACTCCAGAGTTAGTTAGTCCTATACCCCATATTCAGGACTGTCCTGTGTCTTAACAGTGTCAGAACACATCATGAGCTGGTTTTTTTTGCTGCTGGTATCTTGTTTCCCACCATCCACTATCCTTTTCAAGGTCAGATTAAAATCTACCTATAATGGAGTGTAACAGACACATGTCTGGCCCCTGCCATTGACTTTCTATGTATAGGTCCCCCTTTGCTGAGACTAAAAGCTGGAAATTGCCTTATTGAGCATTCATACATTCATGTACACTCCTATACACTCCCCAACATCCTTGCCTAAACTACCATCATCTGCTTTCATTTTCTCAACATCTTCGTAACAAATACCCTTGAATCCACTTTTACTCTCTTTTAGGCATCCAGTGTGATAATGGCAGAATAACTTTATGATTGTCGCAAGTAATCCCCATCTTTCCCTAGCTTAGAATAATGACTTCCCATTGATCCTTATATTGGCCTTTTTTATTTCTCACCATGGTCATTAGGCCTTTACACACATACATATCTTTCCCTACCTACTTACCCTTTTGGTCTAATGAACTGCTATTCAACTTTGGTATTAGTTGAGTGATCATTTCCTGAGGAAATCTTGATCCTGCCTGGCTTATATCTCTTAAGTTAATTACATGTTGTCAAGGCACCATGTACCTCTTCTTTCTAGAACTACACACATGTACTTTACATTGTACATTATCTTTCTCTGCAATGGTCTGCAATCTCCCAAAATATGTGGGCCCTGTAGGTTTGGTTTACCATTGTCCATATCGTCTGGCATAACCTTAATTAATATATGTTAACAAATGCATCAAAGAAAGAGGTATGAAATTAAATTCCCTCCAACTTTTTTCACTGAATAGTACTTCTTACATATAGAAGAATATGTATATATTTTCATTTATTCATATACATATATACACAATATACAAATACATATGCACAAAATGTATATATTTGTGTGCGTATACACTCACAAAATAAACAAGCCCATGTCTTTTTTAAATTTATACATTCAGACTCTAGTGGTTAAAATAAAATATAAAATATAAAAACATACAAGAAATGGTATATTTTATGTATAGAGACAGACACTCCAAAAGAAACTGAGAAATCATAATTCAACTCCCTTATTTTTTCTTCAATTTTTTTCTTTTTAAAATTGATATAACAATTATATGTGTATATGGAATACAAGTTATAATTAAGTACATGTATACAGTGTATAATGATCAAATTAGTGTAATTAGCATTTCCATCTCCTTAAACATTTATCATTTCTTTGTGCTGGGAATCTTTGGACTCCTTTTTTCTAGTTCTTTATAAATATATACCAAATTGTTGAAAACCATCCTACTATGCTACAGAACACTAAAACTTACTCCTCCTACCTCCCTGTATTTTTGGTATTAGTCACCCAGTTTCTCTCTATCCTCACTTCACTTCCTTGCCTCTAGTTACCACAATTCTACTTTCTATTTATATGAAATTGATTTTTTTAAAGCTTCCACATATAAGTAAGAACTTGTATTTGTTTTCTAGGCCTGTCTTATTTCACTTAATATAATATCCTCCAGCTCTAATCATTTAACTTCCTTATTTTATAGTTGAGAAAAGTTGAGGCCTGAAATGGGTGGGTGAAAAGTATTTAAAAGTCAGAATAAGAATCAGTTCCTAAATGTCAGGCTGAATCTCAAATGCAAATGTATTACTGGGAACTAATAATGACCCATCAAGGAGACAACAGGACTTACGGGTTCAAAGACACACCTTACGGGTGAGGGCTTTCTAGCCATTCTGCCTGGATTGCAAGACTGACTGTTCTGTACTAACCATGTGATTTGTGGCAACTTGTTTAAGATCTTTGCCTTATTTCTTTGGTTGTATAATGGGCATAATTGTGGCTGCTACCTCATAAAGTTATGTTATTTAAACAAGTTAATACATAGACAAGAGCTCAATAAATTCTAACTTTTAAAAGTCTCCATGATAAAGAGTGAATACAGTTTCTC